CAGGCTCCAGCCGCGCAGGCTCAGCGGCCATGGCTCACGGGCCCAGCCGCTCCGCGGCATATGGGATCCTCCTGGACCAGGGCGCGAACACGTGTCCCCTGCATTGGCAGGCGGACTCTCAACCACTGCGCCACCAGGGAAGCCCTAATATTTTTTAATTGAAGTATAGTTGATTTATAAAGTGTTAATTTCTGCTGTGTAGCAAAGTGATTCAGTTACACACATATATACCTTCTTTTTAAAATATTCTTTTCCATTATGGTTTACCATAGGATATTGAATGTAGTTCTCTGTGCTCTGCAATGAGGACCTTGTTGTTTCAAGTGTTTTCTAAGCAAAGTTCTTTTGGGCATTTGCAGTCACTGGCTATGTGTCCAAGGATTCAGAATGCCTTCTCTTTCACAGTATCTGCTTCTGCTTTTTCTTCCCAGAGTCGAAAACATGCCAGTAAAGTCCGACTATATTACATGCTTCACCCCAGGGACGGTGGGTGTCCTGCAAAGAGGCTCCGATCAGAGAATGTGAGTATCTGATGCCACATGTTATCCTTGGATAATTTGTTCTGTTTGCTAAAAACTTTGCAGGTCTGGGAATTGCAGTTATGTCCAGCTTAGTGGGAAAGCTAAGTGAGTTGAAATCGTTCGCATTAAATATTACAGAAAATATGACATGTAAGCAAGACTTTTCCTTTTTTCCTGCCTGAACTTGCCAGTATGGGGTTGGGAGACTTTTTGATGGTACTGTGCTGGGACCTCACATAGAAAAGAACAGACAGGGGCTGAGACAGACAGAGGCTGGCTGAGGGGAGGCGGGCACCTTCAGAAGACATGACCTAAGGGCAAACCTGTCAGAAAGATCAGATGCTTTGCTTTCTACATAATGTATGTTTCCTTTGGTGTGTAAAACAGAATGCCATTTGTTCATTTATAATGAAAGCTGTGCACATCTTGCAAATAAAAATATTCAGGGCTTTGATCAGCGTCACTTTTCCCTGAGGGAATGTTTACCTAGGAAGACAAATGACAATTAGAAAGTTGCTTTGAGGGTTTAATGTCAGAGCAAAGGGGTTCCCTTAGCCAGGCCAAGGCCAAGACTGGTGAGAGAAATATTGCTTCCTCCCAGCAGGAGACCCTTTTCCTAATGAGTGGAATATTCTTATCCACCCATGGCAGAGACCCTCCGTGATAAAAACTGCTGATGAAACACAGAAACTCCTCACCCTTTGAGGGCTGAGACTGAGGATGTAGAATTCACACCCCACACTCTCACTGTGCTTGTGATCCTGTTTTCTTTCTGCTGCCATATCGATGCCAGTCTTATTAAAAATTAATACATGATCATCAAAGAGACTGGACAAAAACTGTACTTGTTTGTTGTCACGGAAGAAACAGAGAGAGAGAGGTAACTGCATGTGACCAAAGGTAGCAAGCAGCAGAGCTGGCAGGGTCCACAGATTCTAAGCCCGTGTCTCAGCATCACAAAATGAGGTGCTCACGTATAGACTCATCTGGATGCTGTGGATTTTTCTTTACTGCCCACTGAGGAAACAGAGACACATAAGCCACAGACCTGTGGCTTTAAAGAGACTTCAATATAATGAGAGAGGTTAACATTGTATAAAAAATAGCTCTGATGCCACAGTGTAGGGGTTTGTTAACATTTGTACAAAGCCCCATGGAGACAAAGGGTGGGTGAGTCATGCCAGGGCCATCTGACCAGGGAAGGTGTTACTGCAGGGTTGGCATGTGAGCTGGGGTCTTTGGGCTTGGATGGGTGGTACCAGCTGGAGGCATGAGAGTGAGGTGAGGACAGGTGTTTTCTTAGGTGCATCCCTAGCCAAGGAACCTATTAAGACACAGGAAAGTTGGCCTAAGTCAGCTTTTATGTGATCTCAGAATCCTGTAACCACGTTGGAGTCCCTCCCTCCATCAGCTGTCTATTAACAGAGAGAACAGAATTAGGTTTTCTATTTCCTCCTGAAATTATTCAGCGATGTATCCTTTTATTCAATAGCATTTAGCATCTAATCCTAAGAGTCAGAAACAATAGGATTCACGGACATTTGACAGTTAGCTCTTTGAACACAGATTATTTTCTATCCACTCAAATTCTAATCATGAATGTTGCACTTATATCTGAGCTCCTAGCGAGTAATACATCAGGGGGGAGAAAAACCTTTCCTTTCTAGGTTCCTTGGCTGGTCTAATAATTAAAATGACATAAAACACATGAACAGAAGAACAAATTTCATTTCATACATGTGGGAGACCCAAAGATAGGAGACTCAAGGAGGTGACCAAAGCAGGCAACTTTTATGGTTTTTATACAAAGAAGCAAAGAAATAAATTTGTGAGGAATTGACATGACAAAGGCTTTTGGGCTTGGGGTAGCAAATTAGTGAAGGAATAACAAAGTTGGTTTATACAGGCTTCTCCCCCCCCTGAATTCCCTATCTTTGGTGATATGGATGTCTGTCTCCTCCTGTCTTTTACATGGGAGATTTATTTCCTGCTTTCAGGGGGACAAAGAATGGTCAGAGTATCCTTCTTGGAACTTGCTCTTTCTTAAGTAGCTTCATTAAAAAAAATCAATATGCCAAAGTGGCTTATTTTGGGGAGGGGTTATTTCTGCTCCCCTTCACAAGCAAACAGAAAGGGGCACTGTGACTCCAGCTGTGACCTTGAGGACACGATCTTTGCTGCTCTGGTCAGATCCATGTTTCACCCCACTCAGGCTCCGGTTCTGCCAGACTCCTTGGGGTCAGTTGATAGAGGGGGAGAGGTTCAGATTTTACAGAAAGAAGTGTTTGCAAGGGTACTTTACCAAAGGCCCCTTTGAGAACTTTTTCCTGGATTTTGAAAACTTAGCTCTACCAGTGATTTGTTGATTGAATCATTTTCAATGACTTGTTAATCATTGTCTGGAAGCAAATAAGTAAGTAGGAAAAGCAACATAATGATCTCACTTTTTAAAAGAGATGGTTGATGCCTTAATAGGCTGTATGGACATTTCACAGGAGGAATAGATCATTTCCATTAGGCGTCTTGATGCATTGGATGCTGTGTGGAAGGTACCCCCAGCCCCTCTCCAGGGCCCTGCGAGTTGATGTTGGTAACTATTTGGGCCAATTTTCTCTGGTACAGACTCACACCTAAGGGTTGAAAGACTAAATACACAAATCGACAATGGCCAGAACATATCTAAAAGTAGAACTTTGACCCACAACCTGCAGCAACCAGTCCAGAAAACCAACCCATTGATATCCAGTAACTGGCCCAGAAGCCTGCCAGCTGTGAGTCAGACTTGTAGGAAGTCAGACCACCGTCTCTAGCGACAATCCAGGAAGTCAAAAAATAGCCCTGTAACAGTAGGCCTCGAATGGCCAGGCTTGATGAATAGCTGACAGCTTCCCTAATTTCTGTCCCTGTTTCCAACTTAGGACCAACCAGAAAAAGCCAAATAGGTACCCCTAACCAATCACATAGGCTGTCCCATTCTATGTGGCCCACCTGCAGTTTCCCCAGGCCAACAGCCTCCAATCAGGGCACGGGTGAAACCTACCCCTTTTCCATTATGAAGCTCCTCTCCACTTCTCTGCTTGCCTTTGAGTTTCCTCCAAATGCAGGTGCTGTTGGCTGGCTGTCTTGCTACAGCAAGCTCTACATAAATAGCCTTTCTTGTTCCCATTTGGTGGTTGTTTATTTCCACAGGGTGGTAAAATGGGGATGAGGGTAAGAATCTCTAAAGTACAGGTTCATCCTAAGACTCAGCTGAACTAACCCGTTTATATAGCACTTTGTTTTCAAAGTGCTTTCTGCAGGCATTATTATTATTAACTAATTAATTTATTTATTTGGCTGTGTCGGGTCTTAGTTGTGCTTGCGGTGCACAGGCTTTTCTCTAGTTGTGGCACGTGAGCTCTCTAGTTGCAGTGTGTGGGCTTAGTTGCCCCGCAGCATGAGGGATCCTAGTTCCCCGACCAGGGGTCGAACCTGCTTCCCCTGCATTGGAAGGCGGACTCTTAACCACTGGACCACCAGGGATGTCCCTCTGCAGGCATTATTATTACTGATCCTCTCTCCACCAGCACCTGTGATCTTGGGAGGATGTAACACTTTGGTCCACTTGCCTCTCCAGTCTTGCCCATTCTCCCACCTCCCCTGCTCCCAGGGTCTGTGGTTTGCATCCTAGTGTTACTTGATTGAGGACACTTTTATGGCTGCCCTGAATGTCCAACAGAAGGAGTGTTTCTGAAAATAGAAAACTTGTTGTTGATTTTCCAAACCCTGACCACACATGAACCTTGGGCCTGCAGTGATCCCTAAAGTTGACGGGTAATGGCAGCCTGGGAATACACAGTAACTCTGAATTTACCTACAGATGAACAGAAGTGCGTTATTTTTCCCAGGGCCATTGCCATTTCTATTCCAGGTCATTTGACCTTTTGTTGTCGTTGCTTTTTAAAAAGTTAAATTCATTTCTGTCTTCTGGCCTTTCCAGCATTTTAAATTCCCTGCTTTACTCTTTAGAATCGTCATTTGGGTATTCTATGTTTTTTCCCTGAAATTTTAGAGCAGGATATTTTCCCCTTGAGGCCACAGAGTAAAATTAAATGCGAAATAAATTGTTAGAGTTGATTGCCTTAGAGAAATGTTCAGGAATCCCACGGGCATTAGAGCCAAAAAGGACTTTAAAGATTATCTAGTCCACTGAGAGCCTCGGATTTCTGCCAATGGCCCTTTTTATTATCTTCTCACTCATGGGTCACATGCTTTGAAAAAAAATTGTCTGCTTGGGAAATAGCACTCTTTTTTTTTTTTTTTTTTGCGGTACGCGGGCCTCTCACTGTTGCGGCCTCTCCCGTTGCGGAGCACAGGCTCCGGATGCGCAGGCTCAGGGGCCATGGCTCACGGGCCCAGCCGCTCCGCGGCATGTGGGATCTTCCTGGACCAGGGCACGAACCCGTGTCCCCTGCGTCTGCAGGCGGACTCTCAACCACTGCGCCACCAGGGAAGCCCCGGGAAATAGCACTTTTAAGTTAAAAAGGTGATTTAATTTTACTTTTATTTTCATTCTGTAAAGATAAGTAACTGCCAACCCAAATTGCCAGTTGGTATAAAATAAACAGTGTTTTTACGTGGAATTAATGCAATTTCTTCTAAGTGGGGAAACTTGACATTTGGTTAGTGTGACTGAACTTATCACTCCTAAATATTTATATGGTTTCCCTTAGGTCTGAAATATTCAGTGCAGCTTGAGAACCTCCATTATCACGTTCACAGGCCCCTAAATATCCTGGGTTTCAGGTTGGGAGGACTTGATATAACCTCCCTCCCACCCCGTAATTACAAAGGTGAAAATAAGGCCCAAATAAGTACCATGACTTGTCCAAATTTGTCAGGCCTGAGAATAAGACCCTCCCGGCTTCCCTAAATCTTATTCCTGGGCTTCTTCCACGTATCTTGAAATTGTATCTTATCTGGAGTCATGGAAGCCATTGCTGGGTCCATAGCCAGAGAAT